AGATTCATTTTTTCTTTGCTAATTTTCGTATCCTTGTTGAATAATTATTAAATCAAAATGAAATAAGAAATAAAGAAATTATAGAAAGAAATTAATAAAATAATTAAAGAAAAGATGAAAATCAAAAATCATTCAAGAAATATGAGATTATTAAATACAGATTGTTGAAGAAATTGAAGAAATAACAATATGCACAAAAATGGATAAATAAATCATTTTGAATATTAAATGAATGCAAAGAAGTGTTTGATATTTAAAATAGTTCAACAGAAATATAATTTGATAATAAAATTAATAAAGAATATATGAAAAAGAAGTGATAAAATATTGTATTATTAATATCATAATGAATTGGTATTATAACACAGAAATATTGATAAATTAATTGTTGAAATAGATTATATGAAATATCATCAAAAATATTTCAATTGAAAATATTGAATTTGGAAATAATAATATTAATTGAATCAGTCACATTATTCTTGTACATAAATATAATACATTAAAAAGAGTCATTAATCATATTTATTCAATTGAAATTGAATTGTTTGCTGTTAAAGATTAATAAAATATGAATTAATAAAATATATGTTTATATTAATTACAATTGTTGAACAATTTGAAATATAAAATTTGTAATAAAGGTTGTAATAAAAGTTAATGAAAGTTGATATGAAATGAATGAATAAATGAAATATTGAACTTATATAATATTTGAACTTCAATTCATATTATTATATTGATTCATTCATTGTTATTTTTATTATCATTATACATATTCTTGAATAAATTATTTCATTATATAAAATGGTTGAAATGAGTGAGTGAGAAACTAAATAAATAATTAGAAAAGAATCAATTAATATAAACAGAAATGATTAAAATATGAATAATAAAATATAAAATATATTCAATTATTTAATGAAGATAAAAGAAAATTGATATTCACTGTTTATAATTTATCAAAAGTTATAATGAATATTTCATTTATATTTGTTTATAATATATTTATTTATGTTTGAAATAAATCAAAATATTACATTTTTATTGTTTTTATTGTTTTGATAATTGAAAATTAAAGCAAATACATTAATTATAACATCATTCATTTAATTATTATCAATTTATTATCACTTTATGTTATTTTATTTCTTTATATTATTCTCAGGATTTCATTTTATTTTAGTATTTAGAAATTCATAATTGTTATGAAATTATATTGAATTAATAAATTACACATCATTTGTATGTAACTATTATTTGTTTGCGATTTTAATCCATTTTTTAGAATTTCATTACATCATGTACATCATGTTAAATACAAAAAGAGTTGTTTTATTATTGAAACAATAAATAGAAAATATTAAAATGAAATTGAAATACATGAAGTATAGAATAAATTAACAACTCATCACATTATTTGAATAAAAAATGGATTAATGGAAAAATAAATAGATGATAAATGAAGAAATAGAAATAAGAAAAAATATAAATAACATGTTAATAGAAAAATGAAGACGAACCATATTCACAAACATTAAATTTCATTAATTTTTGAAAATGAATAAAATGAAGAAGAAAATCAAAAAGAATGAATGAGAGTGAATGAATAATAAAATGTATAAATATTATACAATTGATATATGATTTTGTATTTATGACACTTTATTATTTATTAAATATTTATAAATTGATAGTAATAAATTGAAAATGTATTTAGTTCATTCAATTCACAACATATTGAAATTTACATTTATGAAATAGGTAAATTAATGATGAAATAATAGAAATTCATGATACAAATGATAAAACAATATAAAAGAAATAACAAATAAATAGAATAGAATAACACATTGTAACAATAAAATAAATGAAAGAAAATGTTTAGAAACAAACAAAACATAAAATAAGAATAATAAAATAAAGAAAAGAATATAAAACCAACAAAATGTAAAGTTATAATAAAGGTAAATAAATAATAATAAGAGAAATTTTAATATTTCATGAAAAACAAATAGAAATAAAAGAAATAAACATATCAAAATATAATGTAGTTAATTCAATTGATATAAATTTAACCCAAATAAAAATAAATAATAAAACAAATGAATGAATGAATGAAATAATACAAATGAAATAAATAAATAAATACAAAATGTTCTTAAATAATCATAAATTATTTATTTTATATTAAATTAATATAATTTGATAAATGGTTTAAATTTTTTGAATGAATATGTTTATTTGTTTGGATTGTTTGAAATTCTTTAAAATAAATTCAAATGTAAAAATCAAAATTACGCATCATTTTATTTTTTCATATTTTTTGGTTTTGGAATTTCATATCTTATTTTTTTTGTTCCTTTCTTTTTCTTTTCTCCGACAAATTTAACAGGTTCAACTGTCTTTAATCTTTCCATTTCTTCAATTTCTTTCTCTAGTTTCTTCAGCATCACTTCTTGTTCTTTCTCACTTTTACCTTCCATGTTTCTTTCATATTCCTCTTCTCGTTTTCCTATCATATTATTGATAACTTGGTTCATATATGATGTTAACTCTCTCATCTTCTTTTCTTCTTCTTCTCCTATTTCTCTCATTCTTTCCATCATTCTTTCTCCTTCTTTTTCAATTTTATTGATTTCTGAATAAATGTTTTGCTTCTTCATAAACATTTCATCCATTTGGTCATAATGTGTTTCCCACGCTTTAAATCCATCTCCTTCTTCTGGTCTTTTATATCTTTTCTCCGTAATCATGTATTCTTTCATTATTTTGATTATTTTCTCTGTTTTTCTTGAATACCCTTCAATAAGTTGAATTAATTCTTCATATCCACTTTCTTCAATACTTTTTTCTATTTCTTGCTTTGTTTGTTTTTCCATCTTCTTCTCTTCTTCTTTTCTTTTTATAAATTATTAAGTTCTATTTCTATTACAATATACAATGAAAATTATATAGAAATAAATTACATAAACAAATAAAATTAGATGATATTATCATGGTTATAACTATAGTCATTATTAAATAAATAATAGCAATAGTTATATTATTACATTTTATCATAATTATAAACACCATAATCACTTCTTATTTAAACACATTTATAATAAAAATAAAAG